ATATTCTGTATGTCCGCTACGCCTAGGTTAAATTGGTAGGCTATCTTGTAGATGGGCCCTGCTCACGTTGTGGAATCCCTATTTCTTTTTTTCTTGGCAGGTACTGCCTGAAAAGAATTGGTTATGGAAACTAGCCACGGAACCTATCCTTTTGGATTTTGTAGAGCGGCATCTAGGGCCGAATTTGGTTCTGTACTCCACACAGTTAGCTTATAAACCGCCTGGTGGTGGTAGAGACGTCCCATGGCACCAGGCAAGACGGCAAGCTCACAAGTTTTTGTTAACGATTTATGTTGCTAGTGCAAAGGGTATTGTTGATATCACATCCTCGTATTATAGTAGTTTTATATCAAATGTATGGTCGTACAAGCCTGGTGAACCAGAACCAGCTCAACATGTTCTAATGGTGTATCCATTTGACTTGCAAATAGGATGGGGAACGTTGTCGTACACTCTGGATTCCGCTAGATGACATATCCGATACCAGCGGCGGCTTAGAAGTGATCCCTGGGCTACATAAGCGTGGCCGTGTCAAGAAGTACAAACGTGTGACAGTCGAGAGCTACGACAGCGCAGTCTTCAACCTCAAGCACAGCGTCTTTGAGATTGATTTGAGCCTGTATGGTAGTGATGCTGGGACCCAACGCGAGGTATTTTAAAAATATGTACTCGGCCACATGAGCCAGTCGCGTATCAGTTAGACTTATGTAGTATACCGCCCTACTTATTTAGTACAACTGAGTGCATGTGATATCACCTCAATCGCATGGTCGAACAATCGTGGTAGGACCTACACACAGGCGCCTCTTATTGTTGCTTCCCTATCTACTATACACCCAGTTGGAAGACGGAGAGCGTAGTAAGAAAAGAACCCGCATCTCACAAAGAGAATCGCCGAGCAGCGACGGCCAAGGCTTGAAGGTCACTTTCGCTGAGAGTGCGCTGCTGTGCCAGAGCGTACTGTGCCGCATGCCAGCTGGGAGTCTGGAGGTTCACCACCCAACGCTGCCCCACCGATCTGTACCAAATAAATCGGCAAACCACCGGCGTGTCATCATCATGCGGTGTGTTTCTGTGCCCAAGAAATGCAATTCGTTGGTGTTTGTTTTAGACATATGACAAGGCATACACGTTGCAATATGAACTTTTTTGTTCGATTTGCGCAGGACATGTCGAACAGTTCATCGTGTCACACCAACCGGTATTGCATGGGTCTGAGCTTTATTCGAACTAAGTCTCCTATTCCTCTCCGATATGAACCGTAGGTATCAGCCATGCACAGAGCCGCTCAATCACCAAACATTTACACACTTCCGAACGGGCAAGCAGATAGCGAAGAAGAATTACCTTGTGGTACGTATCCTACTGTGTGTGGTTTTGATATAACAATGTGTATTGAATACTTTCGCTCGTGGTTTCTGTCTGGCGTTTTGGTCGACTTTGGATATCTTCGTGGGATGGTTCTGGACACCCATGAATTGATTGCTGTTAGCGGTCTTAGGTATACACCAGCTCCACTTCCACTTTTTATCGACAGGGTCGGTCCTGATCAATTGTTGATAGCTGTATATATATATATATATATATATTTATATTTATTATTTATTATTTATTATTTATTATTTATTATTTATTATTTATATATATCTATATCT